GTGTTCGGTTCTGGGAAATGGGGAAGAGGCTTTTCGCTGTCCGAAGACTGGGAGATAGTAGGACAAGGACCAAAGTCGGGACCAAAGCTGATGCCTGAGTCGGTACGGCGCTGCACGCCTGACTTGCTAATCTGACCAGGCTCGTTGATCAAAGTACACTCGTCGATCATCTCGAGGGTAGCGTTCAAGTATCGGTCAACCACATCATACAATGCAGGCCATCCATTGTCGTCACCGGGTCGAGCGCCTTGCTTCATGATAGGCTCCAGGATTGAAGGATCAGACTCGAAGGTGGTAATGAATTTGAAGAAGGTGTCGCGATGATTTCCAAGGATGGCTGTCGATAACTGCTGTGTTGGGGTGGAGCTGTCCCGGTGAAGAGGCGGCAGTAGAGTGTTAAGAAGAGCGAGGCAGTTGGCTTTGTCGAATGGCTCAAGCATCATCTGATTGACAAGAACCTGAGAAATAAATGTTAGCCATGGAACTCGTTATTTCAATCTCGGGATAAACCTTACCCAGCGACGCAGGCCGACATAGACCTGAGTGTACAGAAAATCAATCATGCGTGCCTTGTTGCTGATATCTTTGTACCAGACCATCACGTTGGGGAATTTGCGAGCCACTTCCGAGTGCTGAGGGTCACTCGCATCCTGGGCAGTAATGTTGAGTCGGTTGAAGGCAGCATCAATTTCCTTTTTCCAGCGACCTTGGAGATCTCTAAGGTAATCAAGAGCGGTTAAAGCCTGGGCAAAGTCGACATCGGACAGCTCCAGACAAAAACAGCGGCGCACAAAGTTGATAATGAAGCTCGGAGGGAGCGAGCAAGGCTGAGAAGACAATTCGGCGACAGTCTTGGACAAACAAGCACGGAATTCGGCATTGGTGTCGTAAGAAGGAGCATCGAAATCAGACTTGGAGTTACGAGAGTTTTTGGACAAAACGGAATTGCGGGAGAAGATGGAGGATGATCGAGGAAATGAAGGCGCCATTGTGCTTTTTGATGGATGGCAATTGAGTTCGTATGCAGCACGAAGAGAGATTTCGTAGTTGTCGGCGTAACGCAAGCAATGATCGAAGATCCACGTCAATGCTGACCCATCGGGTGCATTCAGTGTCTCATGATGGGGGGGCTGAAGACATGCTATGAATACTTGAAGGACTGGAATGTCGGGACTGTTGTCGGGACAAGAGGGAGAGTGCGTAATAAAGATAAGTTGTAAAGGGAATTGTAAAGAGAGTTGTGATGAGAAGAAAAGAGCGCAAGGCCAGTGGCTAAAGGGCAGTAGTTATGGTCGACCCGAAGAACCGGATTAGCCGTGGCGGCTGGGATAGCTCAAAACCCGTCAAGGGGGTAGCTGGAGACCTGATAGGCCCAAATAGGAATAAAGGACTGATGGAGGGAGGGACCCGGTTGGTCGGATCAGCGCTAGAGTACCGAAGACTTGAGTCACTCCAGGAGGCCAACAAAGAAAAAAAGCTTTCGCGGTTGGCGAGTACTTTGTTCTCTAAGATATCCCTTGAGAAGCAAAACCAATCAAGATGCGGGATCTCTCGGATCTCCTGCACGCCAGATCTGATGTATGCAAAAACACGCAAAAAGCGGCTTCAATGGCTAGCTTCCGAGCGCTGAAACGTGAGACACGTCTTAACCCCTTCCAACGATCGAGTAGGGAACGTAAGACGAATAAAGGGCCAAAGTGGTTGGGGTATGAGACCAAGCGAATGTAGAGTATATTGAAGGAGAGTTGAGGAGGAAGAGTTCGAAATGAATCCGCCGAGGGGAAGAGTCCCATACAAAAAGGCGCGCGCCGTTACCCAAGGCTGGACCATTCTACAAAGTGGAGACGGACTCGACCGCAAAAATCCGCGAGACAAAAAAATCCGAGTACGATTTTATTTTAAATTATTTTAAATTGTTTTTTAATTGTTTTTTGGGGTGGTAAAATCAATATTTAATTAATTTAATTACCTAGGTAAGTCAAACCCCTCCTTTATCCGAGTCCAGATCCATGGATTCTGCTTTTTAAGGCTACTCCACCTGTACCGACCCGCTGGAAGATGTCATTAGCCCCGATTTGCGTGAATTCCCATTGGTTTGGAACGCTTCAGAGACAGCCGTTGGTGCTAGGTGTATTCCCACTCCACTAGCCTACGTTTAACACCTTTCCCCTTCAGGTAGGTTCTAAGCCAAAGAGACTAGCTCACATTTATGATTGGGTTATCATCCCCGTGCCTTTCCGGCTTGAGACAACTAAAGCTGTCTTGCATTCAAGGCTCGCTCCAGTGCATGCGGAACTTTAACATCGTGACCGGGAACTAGGGGAGCCGTTACGCCTACCAAATTTTTTGGCTCTGTCAGATTCATCAGCGCATCGTATGTTGTAATACTTTTATGCATAATAGGACTGGTCAATTTAAAAGGCAAACTTCTCGGGTATTTGCCTCCGCCTCAGCTATCTAGGTATTGCGCTCAGCTTATGTCTACAATGCACAGCGTACAACACGTACGCAGATTTTTCCAGATTGTGGCTCATCTTGTGGCCACGTACTTTTGTTCGCCCCCGGATAAAAATCTAAAAACAACATACATAAATACATTTAACTAGGTATCTATTATTGTACCATGTGAGCCAGTCTCCCACACTGTCTGTCTATTTCAAGAAACGACCCTCCCATTAATAATTCTTAGATCCGATTACGATTGTGTTGGCTCCAAGGTTCGATCGCTTGTGGGGTCATGAACATGGTACATACGCAATACCCACAACGTGCACGGAGTATACAACATACTGTGCATGTACATATTATTATGTTCGTACATTTCTGCGGCGATGAACCCGCCTGTGACTGTTGCCTTGGGTCCACCCAAAAACGGAGCCGTTGCGTTGGAGCAGTCACACGGAACGAGAACCCAAATTGATATACAAAGTACGATCCAGGCAACAAGCTGTGATACTCTTCAGGGCTTCGAAAAGGTTGATCACTCATTTGCAGATCAATAAATAACCGTAGTTGTAGACATTATCCATGGATACATTTCATATCTCCCATGGTAACTTGGACACTATACCGCGGTTGACTGTCCAGTCAGCCGGGCCCGCCTTCGGTGCCCCTGGTGCCCTGGTGCCTGAGGCGTTGTAACTGCCTCAGGCATTATTGTTTGTTTGTTTCCTACCGATGAGCGGTCTACTTTCCAACCTTCAGGGTTTACACCCCAGAAAGATTAGGTACATCCACTCCATCCTTAATTTGATACCTAGGATACTTAAAATTGGGGATCGAAGATCAAACATGTGCATATCCGGACTTTCCGTGCTCAATACAAGCGAAACAAAACAACATGACACAGCCCAGGTGATCCACAAGTCCCCCAATTTCGGGACCTTCCCAAACTAGTTTGGCGGGCATCACCTGACCAGCTTTCAGCTTGAGGCGTATGTCGATCTATCAAGCCCGGACAAATATCGGGCACCACACCTACTTCACAAACCAGGTATTCATCTCAACACACCCCCTTAGGCTGGAAATCTACGTATTTACCAATGCCATACTCTACAAATACACTTGCACCCACCCCCTGATTCTCAGTATCATCTTCCACAACTGTCGTCTTCGAGTCCTATAATTGAGATGCCTTCCATCGGTAGCAGTAGCACTATAGGCCCGGCCGAAGTTTCCAACCCGGAGGATGGGTATCGTGGTTCAGATAATAGCACTTAGATAGGGGGTGGCCTAGGGTATCACAGTATATAAAACCGTCGGTGCTAGACATAATCCTTTTTTCTACTCGGCGAGGTGAGTTTTGGCTATTTTACTCCTTGGTGGTACGTTCTGTAACTTGGTTTTGTTGAATTTATACTAGTTAGTACGATTGTTGCTGGCTGCTAAGTATAAAATTCCGCCCTCTACGTTTAGACCTTGCCAACTCCCATCATTTAGTCCCATGGCAATTATCTTGTCGAGGGCGATGTCGCATCGCTTACACCACTATCGATGGCGGCATCTCGCAATCTGCGATGTCTCCGTCCCATGCCACATGGGCCCCTCACCAGATGGGAAGCACCACCCCAAGGTCGTGTCCCACTGCCTCGGCTGTAACGAGGCTTCAAAAAAGCCCTTCCAAAGCGCTTTCTGAGTCCAGTACTGCCGCAAGCACCACCAACAAGCCCGTTACTACGCTGATCACTACCCATTCGAGCTACTCCTTGGCTCTCTGTCTCGCATGGAGGAGTGGGACGTCGTTGAAAGCCTCGAGATTAAACCCCGCCGCCTTGAAATACTGCGAATCGAGGAGGGAAAACAGGCTGATCCTAAACCTATAGAATCAACGCCATTATAGGCATATCTACCTTCACCACAAAGAAGGTGATCAAAGGGTAAAAGATATTTATCCATATGGAGGGAAATCTGTACACTGGAAAAGTACCAAACTGATATTCGCTCATAAAGCACAAACAGGTTGTCCGTTGTATAATCACCTGGAAGACAACCAAAGAGAATAGAATAAGAAGAAATCAGGAAAAATTATGAAGGCCACCATAGAGATGTCGTATTCGTCATTCGAGTCAAAAGTTGACTGGCCATAGCCATCTGAGCCACAAGGTCAGATGCCACATCTAAGAAAGGGTAGGGGCTGGTGGTTTCTTTCTCTATGTTCTTGAGACGTTTGCTGATGGTGGTCTGTTCTGTGTCACCTTGAGCGCGGATCACATTCTGGTAGCCATCACATTTGAAATCAACCATGTAATTGTCCTCCCCTAGTTGGTACAGTTGGATGTCAATGAAGACCCAGACGCCGTGAGAAATACTCGGCAGACCGTTCTGTTGTGTGCGGTAGGTTGGTTTGACCGCCAATAAGAACCTGGCCAAAATTCAATCCGAGGAGACATCGCGGATCGAAGCATGGACCCGGAAGACGGGATCCTGCTTCACGGCGGAAAAAAACCGAAATGTTCTACATCACTAGGGAAAGGAAGGAATAAGGACAAGGCCAGCTCGTCATGGATTGCAAAGTCATCGAGCCATCCGCGGCTGCAAAGCTCCTGGGCGTGATCTTTAGCCATGAGCTCTAATGGAAAGAACATGTACAACAGGCTATCAAGCGAGCTAGGAAAATCAACATTACCCTAGGAGGACTACGACAGCTACACCCAGAACAGATACGACAACTCTACGAAGCGGGTGTTACACCGACCCTCAACTATGCATCGATGGTATGACACCCACTGTGAGGCAAAACCCATAGACCGATAGTCTGTGCATTTTGCAGAGCTATTAGGGGTTTTATTTTCCATGTTTAATCAACAATGTCTCCCTTCAGTGGCGGAGATTAACTGGCTCCCGTAGTAGAAGTGTAACTATCCCAAGAGACAGCATATCAGCGTTGCACGCCGTGCAGAATCCAGAGACCAAGTCGGGTCAACAGATCATCTATGCCATTCTACAAGCGCCCAAGAACGCCAAGTCATACGACATTACGATTCGCCTACAATGGTTAACGGGGCATCGTGATGCAGCCAGCAATGACGAAGCAGATCAATTGGCCTATTTCCCCAAGAAGTACCGCCCCTTCGGTCCACAAGAATCAAACAATTCGAACCCCTACGCTGTTTACAGTGAAACTCTTTCAGTAATCAGTATGAACATCAGGCAATACTTTGATAACTCCTCACCTTGCTGTACTTGAAGAATCTAGCAATTCATTCTCATTGATAACACCACCTAGTCAGTGGACCCTGGCGAGAAGTCAGATTTGATGATCGGGTTGCTGATATAGGGCGGGGTCCTGCTCTTATCTTTAACCAACCACGTGCGACGCCATTGAGTGGAATATTTACCAGGATCATCAGGGAGAAGACCGCTGAGCCCCAAACCAGTCTACGCGGCCCTTCGCCCGAAACTCTCAACGCTGCGGCTATACAACGTATACAACATAGTGGCGCTCGTCCTCCAAATCAAATAAGCCCGTGAATGGCCCAAACCCAATAAATGGGATAGTAAGCGTGAAGTCGCTTGTGATAGCTTCAGCTTCTGTCTGGTCACCAGAGTGCGTGGCGTCCGGCATGACAGCGGAGTCCGATGCCATCTACGGAATATTTGATTTCCAAAACCCGAGCTTCGACGGTGGTTGGTGCGTCAGTCCTCTTCCTGTGCTTTAATGCATTCATTAGCGCTGTTTTTTATTTGCTGCCCTCCCACTGGCTATCAATCGCCCTCTGTCGAAGCTTGGCTTTCTCCACCCCGCTGTGGGTGTTTCTTATATACATAACCCTAATTTTCAGAAGTGTCTGTCAATACCACGGGGGTAGCCGCAAATCACTACACACCCTCAGCTAGAGAGACAAACAGGGTCATTTCGTCCCCATTAATGGCAGCTGCTCGCCCCCCTAGTATTGCGATGGATGGGCAACATGAATCTGCCGGCGACCAAGCAGAGGAATCCAAGGGTCCCGCGCAGGTTGAGGTGCCGCTAGAGGGCAAATCAGAGGAAAACCCTTTAAGTTCCCAGAAGTCAGTTGCCTCGGTTGAGCCCGAATATCCTGGGCCCGCCCAGGTCGCTCTCATCATGGCCTGTATTCTGTGCGCCATCTTTATCATGTCGCTCGTGAGTTCTTGTTTCCGTCTCGTGGATAGAGAAGCCACCCTTCTGGCGCTAAGTATTTAAATCAAAAAAAAAAAAAAACCTCGCTAACCCTATGTAACAACAAAGGACCGCACGATCATCTCAACTGCAATACCCCAGATCACTAACGAGTTCAACAGCCTGGACGATATCGGGTGGTACGGCAGTGCGTTCATGGTCACTGCATGCTGTTTCCAGCTCCTATGGGGCAAGGTCTACGGCTTCTACCCAGCCAAGTATGTCTTCCTAGCGCTAGTGCTTCTGTTCGAAGTCGGGTCAGTGATCTGCGCCGCGGCACCTAACTCGCTCGCCTTCATCATAGGGCGGGCGATCGCGGGTATGGGTAGCGCGGGAATCATGTCTGGGGCGATCGTGCTAATGATGTCAGCGGTGCCGCTACATAAGCGGCCGCTGTACAACGGCTTCTTCAGTGCGGTGCTAGGCATCTCCTCTGTGATCGGCCCTTTGCTAGGCGGTGCTTTCACTAGCAATGTTAGCTGGCGCTGGTGCTTCTATATCAACCTACCAATTGGGGGCGCCGCCATGCTTGTCATTCTGCTAGCGCTGAAGCCAGCGCCTGCCATGAACCCCGGATTGACGCTCCGGCAAAAGCTCTCTAAGCTCGACCTCCTAGGCGAGCTCTTCCTCTTCTCGGCGCTAATCTGCCTTCTACTAGCCCTACAGTGGGGTGGTAGCACGTATGCCTGGGGCAACTGGCGTATCATCCTGCTGTTCGTCGTATTCGGTATCTGCCTGATTACCTAGATGATTGTCCAGATACTTACTCCCGCGACGGCGACAATTCAGCTACGAGTAATCCGCAACCGTAGTGTTGTGGCAGCGATGTGGTTCATGTTCTGCCTAGCCTCAACCATGCTAATGCTGCTGTACTACCTGCCTATCTGGCTGCAGGCAATTAAGAACCGAACCGCGGTGCAGTCCGGTATCGACACCCTACCGCTAGTCCTCTCCCTGGTCGCCGGCAGTACTATGTCCGGCCAGGTAGTCGGTCGGCTCGGCTACTACACCCCCTTCACCATAGCATCATCGTGCCTAATGCCTATCGGTGCTGGACTTATCTCTACCTGGCGCGTTAACACGAGCTCTGGCATGTGGATCGGCTACCAGATCATCCTAGGCTTTGGCATCGGCCTAGGAATGCAGCACGCCGCTATCGCCGTCCAGACTGTCCTTGAGCCCCGCGATATACCCGTCGGTGTCTCCCTCGTCTTCTTTTGTCAGCAGTTAGGCGGTGCCATTTTCGTCTCCGTTGGCGAGAATATCTTCAGCCAGAAGCTCCTTGCCGGCCTAACCCGCGCCATTGACGACTTCGACCCCGAAACCATCGTCAACACCGGTGCCACCAACCTTCGCAGCATCGTCCCCCCCAAGGACCTTCATGCCGTTCTAGTTGAGTATAACGTCGCACTGCACTGGGTATTCATCGTCGGTACCATCACGGCCGCCCTCTCTGCATTAGGTGCGTTTGCCCTCGAGTGGAAGAGTGTCAAGGGAAAGCGGGGCGGCCCTGGCGACGAAGAGGAATAAGCAGCTCGGGGATTATAGTAGGTTTGGGGGCAGAAGATATACTCAATTCTGGAGACGGAAGGAGGGGTGTGCTTCGGTCAGTTGATTTTGCGTGGAATGGTGGAGCGTCAAAGTGTTTGGCATAGGATGGATTCTGGTGTCACCGTAGGGGAATCGGGCTGCTTGGAGGTATAGTTATTGAGAGTTGATTTTTAGGTGGAGATAGATACGAAGGTGTTAAAGTCGGTCACATATAGGTTGCCTATCATAACATAATTCATTCAGTTGCTTTGAACTTGTCAATTTTTCATGGTCTTGATATACATAAAAGTTCGAGCTTAATATACATAATACATGGATCTTTAGAGACGTTAAATGTGTGTCTCATCAAAAAGTCTTTAGTGATCCATTGTTAAGTATTTCTTCCTTTATTTCTGGTTGCATACAGTATACAATTCACATATTGTAATATCAATAGTGCCGAGATAGATTCGCTTGCCAATAAGTGGCGCATAAGCAACAGTCAGGTATCTAGGTAAGTTTCTATCGATGATATCTTTCACTTCACAATAAGCTCCTTGGCTCACCCCAGCCGGGTAACCTAGTCAGATCCTTAGCCACTTCCTGGTGCGGAACTGTTGAAAAATCTCCAGACTTGGCACCAGGTCTCCATTTCCACTGCTGCGCAATTTCAGGGTCCAGCGTGCCTTCCATCATTTCAACGATGTACTTTCCTAATATCGGCAGGAATTTGAATCCATGTGCCGACCCTCCAACGGCAATCTTCAAGTTTTTGTGGGTTGGATGAGGTGTGATCAGGAAATGATAATCTGGCATATCACCATCCCTTGAGAATTATCAGAAAGGCGTTCATGGGTGTCCACTAATGAGCTAGGGACTTACCAGCAAATCCGAGTTTCAATCCATTCTCGAGATGCTAGCTCAGGTACACACCCTGCCATCCATTTGCGAAGATGAGCCTCGATTTCGGCAGGTATTCCATCCTCGGGATTATCCGAACGATAACGCGGAAGGGAAGACCCATTAAAGGACTTCGCATAATTAGTGACGAAATGAACTGCTCCGATCTTCATAATACCGTCTTCTTGGGGAGGGAAAAGAAGTCCTGGTAATTGTTAGCACTTGGTGGGAGTAGAACTAGTAAGATCCACTTACCTCCTTCTAAATGATCGAGGATAGGCATGCTTCTGTACTTCTCGACCTCATCAGGAGTCAACTGAATATGGCCCACAGTATGACCGTGAGCCACAATCTGGCCTTGCAGATTTAACAGGCTTCCAGCTGCCGCTCCGGCCGCAAGCACAATCTTACTTCCAAAGTATGCCGTACCATTAGCACACTTTACTCCGATGCATGCTTGATGTTCATCGTAAAGAAGCTGCGACGCATGCCCCGCACTCCCCGAGACATATTTCACCCCGGCTGCCATGGCCTCTCTTGCCATTCTGATAATGCCCTCCCTAGCATTAACCCAGGCTGCATTAGGACTCCAATATGAGTTCCACCCCTGGAGGTCGCCATCTATAGCGGGCCATTGCTGATGAACCTCCTGAGTCGAAAGCAATCGTGGTGGCTCAACTCCGTTGGCCTCGGCGCTTTTAATCGAACCATCGATAAAGGCTTGGGAACGATCACTCGTCCCAATGATCCAACCACAAGGGTTGTAAAGTCCAGCAAACAATCCATCTGGATCGGACCATATATCCCGTGCATCAGATGCAAGCCTGGTGTATAGATCTTGAGGATATTCGGTGCGAACCACTTTGTTGATATCATTCCCGGCTGCCTCTGCTGAAGGCACGGGGAAACGATCAAGGACTACAACGTTGGTATATCCTTTCTTTGCCAAGTGGTAGGCTGTGGTCGTGCCAAAAGTACCACCTCCGATAATGATAATCGGCTCGGAGAGTTGAGAGGAAACCATTGCGAGAGAGATTTCGATTTTTGTTGTGACAATGACTGGTGGGCAAAACTACATTTCTGCGGATATCTTGAGCTTATTATACTTCATCGCTTCGCCTTTTGGGGGGGGCTATGCCACACTATCAAACCGTGCTATGTTGGAATCAAATTGAAGGCAGGTCGATGCGCTGCGACCTAGGTTAATTGGGATCGAGCATTTCAGTGTTTGCCTAATCTGTCCTAGTCAAGATTCTAGCCTTAAGTTAGACTATGTACAGATAAAGTTTCTAGCGTACCTTTGAACCTTGGATTGGAATGGGGAAAACCTTAGATACCTACTGCCCCCACTTTACAGATAACACTTCCTTGTGATCCAATTAGAGTGCTTGATCTAGCTGGGGGAGAATAAGAAGATTGGGGTAAACGGCGTATCGACCTGCCTTATGTTAGAGTTATCTTGGCATTATCTATTAAACACACAGTAGAGTGTTTCCTAATGTACAACATAGCGAATTCTTATCAAGCCGTCCGTAGTGAATATAAGGGTATGGTCCCTCGCTCTTACTAACCCTCCCCCCACCGTTATCACAGTTATAAGTGTATTCAACTGCGCATCTTACAAGATACATACACATCGACTTGCCCTAAACAATGTCGCAGTTGAAGGACATGATAAAGGATACTCTTTCCAACGCCCGATCACTGGACGATGGAAACAGCGATGATAACCTAGGAGAAGTTGTTCTGCTGCAGAACAATGCTGGGTTCCACCGAACATTTACATCTAGACAAATCCATGTATGTACTCCAATACCGTCATATTTCCGATTGAATCAAATTGATCCCAGAACATGGTCTAACCGGTAACAGGTCATTTCTCTTGGAGGTCAAATTGGAGCTGGTCTTTTTATTTCGAGTGGCGCGAACCTACGCGATGGTGGTCCAGGTTCTCTTTTTCTCGGCTTCGCAGTCGTATGCTCATGTGTATGGGCAGTCCTTCAGACAGTCAGTGAGATGACTATCAGCTTTCCTACTTCTGGTAATTTTATCGACTATGCCGATCGTTTTGTTGACCCAGCTGTGGCCTTCGCGGCTGGTTTTTCGATGTGGATCGGCTGGACAGCCATTATCGCTTCAGAGGCGACTTTCTTCTCAGTTATAGTGAACTACTGGGCAAAGGAGTCTGTTCCTGAAGTTGTTTGGTGTATGTGCTTTGCGTGAAGTCTTTTTATTCTTGATATGACCTTTAAAAGATTCTATCTGCTAACTTTTAATCTATAGTGACGATCTTTCTTATTATAATGTTTATCATGTTTAGTCTGCCAAATACTGTTTTTGGATGGTTTGAGTACTTTACGTCTATCCTGAAGATCTTTGCTCTGATCCTGTTTATCGTTGTCGGCATCGCCCTCATTTTCGGTGCTGGTCCACATGGTAGCCTACATCATGGTCAGGTATGGCAAGACGAAGCCTTTTTAAATGGGTTCAAGGGGTTCGGAAACAGTGTTCTACTCGCTATTCTCGCAATTGGAGGTTCGTGTTTGTCTGAACTAGAATGTTTAGATCTCCTGGAGATGCTAATGGTCTATTTAGACAACACATTTACTGGATTCCTTGCTGGAGAGTCTAAGAGCCCCCGATTTTCTGTCTCCCATGCAGTATTCCTAATCCCAATCCGAGTCTCAATTTTCTATTTGGGTTCTATGGTCTTGATTGGAATCCTGGTTTCTCCTCACAACACCAATCTACTAGGGAGCAGTGGTATCGCCGCATCGCCATTTATCATCGCTATTGAACAGGCTGGAATCAAGGGTCTTCCAGACTTGCTTAATGTGATCATCCTATTTGCAGTGGCAGCTATTGCTGCCGAGAGCTTTTTCATCGCCTCACGAATTCTCCAATCAATGGCTCATCAAGGATTGATCTCGCCCTATTTGGCAAAGGTTGATTCACAAGGGCGCCCTCGAGTATCTCTCGCAATCACAGGTGCTCTCTGTATTATTCTGACATACATCAACCTCAGCGGAGAAGGTATAACTGTGTTTAACTGGCTGGCTCAGATTGCTAGCACGGGATACTTCATGGTGTGGTTTGTTATATCCATTACCTCATTTCGCTTTCGGGCGGCTCTCAAGGCTCAGAATGACCCGCTCTTCGCGCAAACATACGCTTGGAAATGCAGTATCTGGCCATTTCCTCCGATGTGGCTGTTTACGTGCTGTTGCTTTTATATCGCATGTTCTCTATACCTTGCTTTGTACCCAATTGTAAGCTCCACTGTCCACCCGCTGGCTGTCCAGTCTCGAAGTACTAAATATAGCTTTTTATAGGGATCAAATATTCCAACCGCATACTACTTCTTTCAGTATATGTTTGGTCTGATTTTGATTGTGTTCAGCACCATCGCCTATAAGCTCATTTATCGAACCAAACTCCGAGATCCTCGAACAGTGGACCTACAAACAGGAAGAAGAACCCTTGATACAGAGGAGATTTTGGAGTTGGATAATTATGAGCAGATGCCCTTGTGGAGGAAATTTGTCACTTTCGTACAGTTGTGGTAGTTCAACCCGGCAAAGCAAGAAGACACAATGGATGAGGTCCTCCACGGTGCGAGTTTTTGGTAAATTGCCTTGAAAAAGAAAGTCATCAAATAGATTTATCTAGTTCTGTTATCTCTCGCATAACCTCATTTGTACAGTCTCCACCAGCACACCTCTGTCCCCTCGCCGACTTTCTACCGCCTATTAAATCTCCCATCATCACCTAGCCAATATCAATAATAAATAGAGCATAGACCAACGGAGAGAAAAGTCAAAACATTTCTTCATTCTATGAAAATTAGATATATGAAAAGCCACAGCCAGACGGTATTGGTGAGTTATATCTCGCTCGACTGTACTGGCGCATCCACCTGCCATTTCATTTTTTGAGACGACATAGAATGGGTGTAACCGACCCAGACAATGGTCAACAAAATCGCGAGTCGTTTTGCGCTGGACGCATTTTCCCGCTTAGATATACTGTGAACAATGCCGGCTATCTTCCTCGATTCCTGCCCATTACGGAATCCGATCCTGAAGACTGGTGGAAAAGCTGGGAGGTTAAAGCGAAGGGCGTGTTCCTGCTCACTCGACAGATGCTGCCGATAATGCTAAGAGATCAACAGTCAGATCGTACCATTGTCACTCTGGCCAGTACAAGTGCGCACGGTGTTTCGTCTGGTGAGAGCTCTTATTAAATGACTAAGCTTGTTAATTTGCGTTTCAGTGAGTTCATTGGGCATGAGTATGGGAGCGAGGGGGTCTTGGCCTATTCTGTGAATCCAGGTGCAGTGGCAACCGAGATGGGAGCGAAGGTAGCACTGGATACTGGGGCACGTGAGTTTGAGTGATTCCTTGTGACAACTATGTTGAATATAGAAGAAACTAATATTCATTTACACTAAATTACACTGAATTACACTGAAAAGTTCTTGTTGACTCTGCCAGCGTTTGTGCAGATAAAATCCTTATTTAGATAGTGAGAAGCGGGACTGGCTGCAGGGGCGATATCTCAGCTCTTTGGAATATGGAAGTTGTTTTTCAGAGGAAAGAGAAAATCACTTGAGAACGATTTCTTAAAGGTTCGGATGGCAATCGGTTAAGACTGATACAAGAACTCCATTTGTCGACACTCTTCTGTTTACACGTAGCATTAACATTAACTAAGTAAATGGCATCATCCATCCTAGCTGTGAAATCACATGTGTCCAAGTAGCCGCATGCCGTGATGAGACCATGGTCTCGTCAGAGCTCAGATCTCTTTTCTTCCATATCGCTTCAACTGCAGCCATAGTAGAAGGAACATTACTAATAGGCTTATTATACTTGAGAACAGTGAAGAACTTGAGAATTTTCACCCGGTCATCTTCCAGAACAAAACAGCTAGCGATAAAAAGCACCCACATTGGATAAGGAAGAAAACCAAGCTGCGCCCCATGTGCCTCGTGAATCTGCTCAAGGGCATTGATAATCCTAGGGAGATGAATGCTTTGGATAATCTCACTCTGATAAGATTCACCTTTAATTGCATGGTATAGGTAGATCCAAGTCGCCTCTTCAAATGCGGTAGAGTGTAGCTCCATTAGTTGGTTGCTGTTTGAATCTTCGGTGGATTTAATACAACGAAGCCGCTGCTGTATAGTTTCGAATATTTGCCTTGTGTTGGTGTCGTGATCATCAAAACAGTTACCTAGTACACGTTGTCTCCTGGCATGATCACTTATACAGAAAATGATATCCAACAATTCAGGAGACAACCCCATACACGGGTTCACTTCCATGCGTCCACGGCCCGCAAGAAAGGGAAACACGGAAGGTACTTCGGTTGACCACTGGATGCCGTCAAGGGAATCTTCCCCCTCATCTGAGATATTCAGGCAAGTGCCGAGGAAAGTATTCTTCTCAATGAAAAACGTATAAACCAGTTCAAGAACCTCTTTGCTGAAGATTTCCCGCCTCGGCATAGATGAGCAGTTAGCCGTGTAGAATTTCATAATTCTAATAGCACCTTTCATGTGGTACGTCCACTCCACGACACTTCCGCTGGCAATCTCTAGGAGACAATGAAACATCACGAGTAGAAGGAGACTATCTCGCTCGCTTCGGGTGCGGGCTGGAAAGACTGTAGGTGGCTGGTCGTCGTGGTCTTCGGGTAACATGCCACGAAGGTGTTTGAGAGAGCTGACTTTGTGTTGAAGGATCATTTGGTCGTATTTATATATATCTCGACTATCACACTGGTTGCGGAGGGAGTGCGCGGCCCATGCGATGGCAATATGCAAGAGGCCGTCTGATTGGAAACACATTGGAAGTAGAACCGATCGCCATGGGTTTTCGGAGTCTGTTAAAGATCGGCGGATGGTGCAGATGTTACTGACTTCGAAATGGTTAGCATAGCGATGCACACCCGCGAGTACTCTAAGGCAATAGTAGCAGGAAACCAACAATAGTGAAAGAGAAGATTATCAGACTCCTCGAGAGAAGGGTGGTGACACATAATGAGGGGAGGGGTGTTCATTGGGACAAGATGTGCGGCACTCATTTCTCGATCCAGATCATAAATCTGTATCGCCGGTCGCTTATCTGGGCAGCCCTCGTAGAGCGAGCGGATATCATCCGATGTCGTAGTAAGCCAATACCGAGAGGCATGGGATTTCACAGGAAGAAAGTAATGCTCGACTGACGACTTGGTCTTCGTCTTTATGAACCGATCTTTCATGCCGGATCTACCAAAAGCAATACCCATTAATTGGGCTTCATCTTCCCACAGCAGACGGATGCCATAGCGACACTCTTGTCCACGTTGGAGACACCACTTGCAGGATGGTTTGTCTTCTGTGTCCCAGATTTAGCTCTTTCTCTAGGATATCCATTTATAAATATTTCTGTGAGACGTACCTGTACATCGTCGGCGTCGTTCTACGGTCAGTCAGCGATAAGAAGCTCGATGACCTCGATGACCTCGATGACAAACGATTCGATCTAGATAGACTACTTACTTTTACAGTTCCAGCATCCTGATCGTGTTCGTCGGATGTTGGGGTTTGAAGGTTTCTCCATTGCAGTTTCAATTCACAGGTGCTTAATGTCAGAGGGAATGAAAGGGAGTTTCGGAATTGTCCCGTCTTGCCTTTCAAATAAATGAGGGGAGAGCCTTATCATCCCCACAGTTTCGGAGGCGTCCACGGGTTCCCTGTCCCTGATAAGAGCGTAAGAGCGAGTGAATCAGGTTTTAAGAAGTCCCAACGTTGTACTCCATGCTATTTGAAGCTATAAATACATGTATATACTCTGTACCCTGGATCCGATTGTCTCCTGGGGTATTTGCAATATAGTAGGAACTTCCTATTCACATCGATATTTTCTACTTTAAACTATATTGTACAAACAAACCACTTAACATAGCTCATAATGTGTGCATCAAGCGTCTAAATGTCTTGCTTTCTTTTTAATAGAAGATAGATAGGGCAGGGCGCGCCAGCCTTCTGTAGCTTTGCTGAAGGGGATCGCTTGAGTGTTCTCTTTTACTTGCATAATTGAATAAATAGGCCAAGCTATTGGTGTCGAATTGCTGAGGGGGGTTTTAGGTATCCTATAGTTTGCCGATCTATGATGTAGATATAGTAGCTTCCCGATTAGGAAGGCTCGCACCTGCAGATGGCCCCGGGGGGTAAACAAATGATGACATAAGCGAGTCATATCGGCCCCGCCTGGCAGAAAAAGGCAGACGATAAGATGCACAGCTTCCATGCTTTTACTTGGCTCTGCAACTTTTCATTCGTGCAAGGCACATATCAGCCATGACAAAGGGATCATTGGAGAGCAAACTCCAATTTGAGAAAAAGAACAAAGACCTCATCCGACTCCCAAAATGTGAGCCTTCCCACCCAAACGCCTGGGGTCAAATGGCCAATGCTACGAACTAAAGATCACAAACGCTGACTTTTGGATAACAGATGCCAAAGTCGAGAAGCGCCCTATACCTCATGCCCCAGTCGCCTCCCCGTATGCCGGCGCATCGGTGCCTAAGATCGTCTATGTCTCCAAGTCCACACCGTTCATGAGCGCTATCAAGCGTGTCCAGAAGCTCCTCCTGCAGGCCGAGAAGCGTGCCACCGCAAACATCAACCTTGAAGATACGCGCAAGAACGAGAAACAGATACTCGATGAGCTGTCTAAGGTGTCGGAGAAGCGAGAGGAAGTCTTTGTGAAAGCGACAGGACGGGCCATCGAGAAGGCGCTCAACGTAGCCAAATGGTTCGAGGAAAAGGGAACCGAGTATACAGTCCGTGTCAATACCGGGAGTGTGGTTGTCGTGGATGATATCGTCGAGGACGAAGAAATGAAAGCAAAAGAGGAACAGAAACGACAACGACAGGAAGAGCAAACCCCAGCCGACCAGGGAGATGCGGCTTCTAAGCCGGAATCTAAGTCGGCCGCAAAGAAGAGGAAACGCCAGGCCGCCGCGGTGGAAGACGACGCTGAGCTGCCCGAGAGTCGGACGAGGTGGATTAAAATGGTTGAGGTCGCCGTCAGCCTAAAGTGAATTCGCCTACGATCATTGCGACAAACCCCCCTACGATCGTCGATTATCCGATTGCACGATCATCGTCTACCAATTTGAGAAGTTTGACTGCAAACCCCACACCCATGGCTGGGGATTACTCATTGTCACGAGGCTGTGGCCACGCCCAGGATTGCCAGCTAGGACATTGAGTGTACGCACATCCTGCTGAGTGATTTCGATCCAAAGGGACACTTACGGTGACTATACACTCCAGCTTAGAAGACATTTTATCCTGAATTCACGTTCTGGGATATTTCTGGTGGAAGCAGTCAAACCCCCAAGCCCCAATTCGAGGGCTTCCTCTTACTCTTACCACCCTTGATCACTTTCATATCCCAAGTGCCAAATACTCTCTGCAGGTACAATATGGAAATTACACAGGCCCGAAAGGCAAGGCCCTTAGGCAGGATCAGGAAAGGAACAATTCGTCTGTCCTTAGGTTATTAGCCTAGCACAAAATCATGTACATCGAGATTGCCCTTAAGAAATAAACTCTGATTTACCCAGAGCACATGCTCCACCCAGCCTCGAAATCAACCCAACGCGCTGTAGATGCGGGACAGACTTGTATGAAACACGAAAGAGAGAGAGAGAGAGAGAGAGAGAGAGAGGACTATCTGAGAACAGTACTACTCCAATCAAAAAAGAGGTTTAAAAGAGGGGGCCTGGATCATCGAATCTGCCAGCGAGAAACAAATGGCATGAATAAAAACGAAATAGTACGAATAAAAACTCCTTGATACGCTCACAAAGTCCTGTGTTGACATGACATGATGAATGATAATGCCTGAAACCCCTCCATCGAACGAAACGTTTCAAAGAGAGGCTGCAAGTCATGAACGTATCCTGATTTTCCCCATCATGTACAGACAAAAGAGAAAGAGAGGTGTCGACTCCCAAGAGGGCGACAGGCTAATAGTAACATAGTAGGAGGTAGAAGAAGAAGAACGAAGAGAAAGGAGATGGCAGGAAAGAGGGGGAGGAACGGACGTCGAACAAGGCGACCAAGGAGATCCCTAAGTGATCTCGAAAAAGTCATCAAAAAGGTCGTGAGATAAAAGAGACAGTGTGGGCTAAAGGGAAGAAGCTCCGAATATGAAAACAAGAAAATGGTCCTAAACCGAGAGCAGAACCAGCACATTCATCACCAGAAAGTCGTGACTGGCGAGCGAAAACTGAATTCCGATGAGAAAGATAGGAGACAAAAGGCAAATAATGCGAAGGGCCTATGCAATAGAAATAACCGTCAAAAGAACAAAGAGCCCCCAGAAGTAGCACGCGAGGGCAAGCTGGTTTATTTGTCCATCTTTTGCCAACCGTTGAGATAGGCCATCAGGCCTACTCCCAATAAGACCACGCCAAACATGGAAGCGTAAGGACTTGCTTCTTCCACATAGTTGCATCGATGGCGTTGTGTTGCAAATGCTGTGGCTGCAGCATCCATGTCCTTGTTCTGCGAGGTAACTGGATCGAAGCCCTGCATCGATGGAGTCTTCGTCTTAGAATCCGTTAGAGTATCATCGCTCGTAAGCGACTGTGCGGCCAAGTCATTGCTTGGCTCGCGGTCATGTATATCGGTTTTCTTATCAAGCACCGTGGCTGATGCTTTCTGAGCGCGTTCCAGGCGCAAGGTTTCGATCATTTCGTTCAATGACTTGCGAGACTCTGTGGTCTCATCTTCAGCCTTCTCGGCGCGATCTTTGAAGGATGCCATTTGCTTTCGCATCTCTGCCATCTCCTCCATCATACTTTCCAAGCGAGTTTGAAGCTCAGCACTCTTGTCTTCCACGGGGGCGTCTGCCTGGCTGTCGTCGGGAGTGGGAGTCTCCGAAGGATGGATCCCGTTGACCTGCACGGTTGTTTCTGTAACGTCTTGCTCCTTCTTTCCATCTACACCACTCTCCGAAGGTGGAAGAATGCCGTTCTCGGCTTTGGATTTTTCAACATCCAATGACCGCATCTCCAATTCATTGACTTTGTCTTCTGCCAATTTGCGAGCAGCCTGTTCTTGGAACAGCAGGTTTTCTAGTTCCTTGACACGTGTTCCATGGGTTTCAATCTCTCGCTTGGCAGACGATAGCGCCTCAATGAGATTCAAGATTTGACTGGAATCGCGGGAGACAGGGGAACCTGTTCCGCTCTTCGGCTTTTCCGTATCGCTGCGCTTCAGCGGCGAGAACGATTCAGAGGCACTTCGTGACAACGCATCGGGTTTCTCTGGCAGAGGCTGTTGAGGTGGAGGAGCGGGGGGGATCGGAGAATCTTGAAAAGGAGTCGACTCGAGGCATTTTGGGCCGGCCATTCATTTGGCGATGGGCATTATTCTCCAAAGGAGATGGCTTAACAAGCTTTTCTTTCTCTGCATAGCCTGGTTTCATGATCGTCGTCAAAAATTCATCTGCATGAGAAAGATCTGTTGTTTGTTGTTTTGCGGATTTGAGTTCGCCCTAGAACACGTCAGCAATATGTGGTATTAAGATAAATTGTGATTCGTACCGTGAGCCGCTTGACGACCTGTTCTATAGAGATTGGCGAGTTCCAGTAGTTCATTTGTCGTTGTTGATGTAAAGCATTGACCTGATTGCTGGTAACACTATGGGTACTTCTGCTACTCGCGTTGCTACCGGCTCGACCGCGCATATGAGAAAGCGGTTGACTCAAGGGAGAAGGGAGAAGGCCGCCCCCGGAGGCAGGATCCAAGTCCCCGAAGTTCAGATCAAGGATACTAGGGGCAGTGCTATAGGTTCCGGCATGTTCAACCTTTGATGAGACTTTGTGATGGACGATAGTGGATTGATCCTCGCTGACAATATCAATACCCAGCTCTAGGGTATCGCTTTCTCTCAACTCGTGCGGCTCTGACTCACGGTTCTCAGGGGACAGCCGGTGACCGTTCACAAATGTGCCGTTTGAGGATTTGACGTCTCGGATCCAGATTTTGCCAGACTTGTCGGCCCATACCTCAGCATGCTGCCGAGAGAGAACTTTGGAGTCAAAGAATCCATTGAGAGGCGTGGGCACTGTTTTGGCGTTTGTTTGTCGCCCGATTCGTAGGACCTCGGGGTAGTATGGCACATTGATCTGTTTCCTGTCAAAGGTGCCATTCATTGGCAACAGAATCAAAATTGCTGTGCTCTCCGACGGCGGGCCGGTTGGCGCACGGATGCCATTCTGCTGTGACGACTGAGGCATCTGTTGCGATGGGACGATGTTCGAAGGCTGATGCATTGCGGACATTGTCGATGACGCACTTGGGCCCGACGAGAAGGCAGGCACTGCCTGAGATCGCGCGTTCGTTACCCCTGATACCGGCTCGGATTTCGAGCTAGGCCAGATATTCTTCGAATACTTCTTTTTTGATGACCAATTCTCTGATTCGCTGGCGGAGTTCGGCGCGGCATGGGTATCTTGGGAAGGGGCCGACACAGTAGATGTGGAGGAGGTCGAAGAGTTCGACCCCAGAGAGGAAGAGGAGTTTGAACGTTGAACGTGTTTCCGTGGCATGAACATCCGTGACACGTCGTCGGCATTCACTGAAGACAGAGCTCCTTCTCCTCCGTCACTAGAGCTGTACCATCCCAAGCGAGACCCCGATTCGACACTAGGTGGAGATGCCACAGCAGTCATGGAGAAGGATGTGAATGGTTCAAGGTAATGGAATATCTAGACGGAGCACGGAGCGCGTCCACGGTTCCGAATTGTAAAAGGGGCCGTATTCTGGTGCAGTTTGAAGGGCGAAAAGGAGACCTTTAGTTATGTTTCGTTTATGGCTGAGGGTTGGGGATATTGAATGCGCGCAAGGGTGATTGGAGCTTTAGTCGCCTGACTAAAATGAAGACGGTCGCGTTAGTGCTGTTTGGGGGGAGAGACAAATAAATTGGCTCCTAGGTCGAGGTCTTGCCTCGACCCCACAAAAAATAGTTGTATATTTGGAGTAGAGTGTGAACTCACTTCTGAATTGTGAGCTGAGAGATATTTAGGACTGAATAAAATAGGTGCTTCAAGACCAAGGAGTTGTGTGGAGGTCGGAAATCGTGAGCGACCGGTCTCACGCCAGGGCAATGATAGAAGCACAAGACGGGACTGCCGCCTCGGCGCAGGCTTCAGGCAGCCCTTTAAAAGATGTAACGGAAAAGAAATCAGAGATCGAGGATAGTTGCCATGAGGGAACCCAGGCAAGAGCGCAAGATGGCCAGTTCCCTACTCCCTTGACGCTGGCCAGGCGAAATAGGTCACGTGTTGTTTCGGCACGTGTGTAATTTAAAGCCCGTTTGTGATCACGTGACCAAGGCGGAGAAGCATCAAGCCGGGGGAGGAAAAAGAGCTCGTTCCTTGACTATCACATCAGGATTTCTCATTCAGCTCAGAGCTGTTGACCGTTTTTTAATTTTAATTTACAAGCTTCTTTATAACTTTCCATAATGCCTGTCGTTGCTGGTCCTCCCGCTCAAGCGGGCCCAGGGGGTGCTCCTTCAACTTTTGACAAGAGTATGTCATCTACAACCCAGTGATATAGATCACACTCTGCTTGGTGTTCTTATCAGGGTGCGCTATATATGTTGAACACAATGTGCTGACAATTTCTTAGTGAAAATGGGTTGCATGATGGGTTCCAGTACGTGATCGCAAAACTACCAAACCTTGTTCATCAAGAGCCTTTAGCTAACATAGCTCCCCTCTCAGCTGTTGGTGGCATCATGGGCTTCATTATCGGTTTGTTCCACTCATTTCCCAAATGAAGAAGTGCTGTATAAGCTAAATAGGAGCAGGAACTGTGACCATCTTCCAGTATGGCGCTGGGCCTAACGGTGTCATGCGGACTCTGGGCAAGTACATGCTGGGTTCAGGTGCCACTTTCGGGTATGGTTGACTCTTAACAACTTTGACTTAGCATCCCTGGCTGATCAATTTCTCTTCAAATAGACTCTTCATGTCCATCGGTAGTGTCATTCGCTCCGAAGGACCTCAAAACGATGCCTGGCTCCGTGCTCGAGGACCCCCGATGATGCTCCCCCGACAGAGCCCCCTCCGGCCTATGCGCCAGTAAACACAATCTTCTCCCAGTCTCAAGACTATTCGGGAAACATGCGACATGACCACTCCCTGGCGACGTCCCTTGTACGATATAATCTCTATGGTTGAGAGATACTTTTTCTGGTGGTTTGAAGAGACAGGGCAACTACCCAAATATGGCTGTGACGGAAAGGTTCATGGGTACTTGCTACTTCAGCACGCAATGTACATAATCTAGCAGTACCCAGAACATGGATGTTGAAGTCCAATTGTCTCAATTGTTCCAACCATGTTAGGCGTTATTGTGAAAATATATCCTTTCTTTTGGCTTCCACAATCCAATCATATCATTGGAAAGGAAACTCCCCACCAGAGCTGTGGTAACGAAGCCAATCATATAACTCTCAATGGGGAAGCCTCAAAGGGATATCAATCTACCAGGTCAAAGATCCCTATGTATGACCCGGTCTAACTACCCTTGTTGAGGTTCAAAGTAAGGGCAAGAAATCTGGTTGATCCTGAATCTGACCATTTTGATCACCAAACTTCTAATAAAGCCACAGTCCGCTTTCATATTAGATGGTTGAACTGACATCTATTTTGTTTCAGACCTGGCTTAGAAGTTGCGGGGCCCCTCAAATGTAACCCCGGGGCCACCTACCCAGAATAAACAGTTCAAACCTATAAGTCCTTGATCCTCGTCTATAGCGACATGTCATTGTTTTCTATCATGGCTTGATCATAGTCACCAAGCTATTGAAAACGTCTACTCTTAATTTTTATTTTTATTTTTATTTTATGTTAGAGTCATCTCTGGTCTCCGGTTGCAACTAGCCATCAAACCAAGCAGAAAATTGTGCCAGTGATTCATTTCTGTTTGTTTCCGTTTGTCCGGCGAATCCCGAAATCAGATGCAGATATCAATGTTGGACTGCTGTTCCAGCCGATCTCGGGGACTTTAAGAGACTTAATCCCAGGTTATTCAAGCTGGGAACCATACTATTGGCTTGGTATGTGCAGGTATGCAGGTAAGTAGAACTTTGTATATATAGAGGTAGGCTGTGCCCGGGTGAAGGATCGATATCAGAGTATGGGTAATGGAGGCAATTAGATGTCACAAGTACGGTCGCAGTATAAGAATGAGATGAGAATGCTCCGTAGATATTACAGTGTCATAATCAGAATCAGGTTTGCTACCTTATTCCTTGTGCTCAAACGAGTCACCGAAAATACTGTCAGCCCCTTATATGCTCACTGCACGGAGGACAAAGTAAGTAGCAAGGCATGTCTACATTCCAATCAATGCACTGAGGAACATCAAACCTACGGTGTAAGCAGGTGGATTCTAGTTCGATCTGCAGATTTCCCAGATTACCCAATAATGAAAGATTTTTGCCCCCCTAGGCCTACGATCACGGCCTAGTTTTCTTTAGATAGGCGGCGCTAGGACATCCTCCCCCCAGCCACCCTGTCCCAGGCAACTTTGAATAACAATTGCACATGATGGGTATTTTTATAGCGATCCAATGGGGAGTTGCTTAGTCTGACACTTGAGTTGAATATAAGAATGCGGCTCAAATTTGAGGAATATATAAGGAACCACCTCTGCTAGGGCCTCCGCTAGGGGTGTTTGTCAACTGAGCCTCTGTCCCACCTCCTATCATGTCTACTCTGCTAGCATCTCGGACCCTTCATTATAGCTGTACTTTGATAGCAAGTCTCTACATTGTGATATGCATTTTATTTAATCGCGCTCCGGTAAAGAAAAGAAAGACTCGCTCCAAGCGTCGCAGTCGACCCCGAGTGATCTTGTCTGTCTTGATTGTTTTCACATATGTCAGTCAAACGGTTTTGAAAATCGCCACCGATGACTTGGACAGTTCCCAGCCGTTCCTGGTGCATATGACCTCTCAAGCAGTTGTATGGATTGCACTCTGGTTGCGACAAAATCCTTCCAACTACGAAGTGGCTGGAGCGTCGTTTGTCACCGCTGGTTTTGAAGTTCCACTCCTTGCGCTGTCCTTGTGTCCCAAGCCGAGAGAATGGGTACCAATCACGCAGATCGCCATATCAGCGGCCCGACTTGCCTTGCTTGTCTTTGTGACGACTGCCATTCTAGTTGAGACTAGACAGAGGAAGAAAAAGACCTCTGAGGAGTCGCGCCCTTTTCTAAATGGTAATCATACAAGATATGGCGCGGCGAATGGCAACGACTCGGATAATAGCAGTGTGGACTCCAAGAGCGAGAGCGAGTCAGACACCGCCAAAAATAAGAACGATGCAGCTACGCGCAGGAAAAGGCTCCGCAATGAGAAGTTGCAGTCGATTGGGGGCTGGTGGGATTATTTGAAAGGTTTCTCGATCTTTCTGCCCTATTTGGTCCCCAAAAACAATCGCAAAGTGCAGCTTTGTATTGCTACCAGCATCTTCTGTCTAGTATGCCACCGAGCCCTGAATATTCTCATTCCTCAGCAACTAGCGGATGTCACTGATAGCATCTTTGCCCACAAAGCCCCATATGCTTCACTAGGAAAATGGGCGCTGCTGCAGCTGATCCGTGGCGGAGCTGGGCTAGGATTGATTGAGTCCCTTGTCAAGATCCCGATCAGGCAGTTCTCTTATCGTCAGATTACCAATGCTGCCTTCAGCCATGTGATGAATCTATCAATGGATTTCCATATTGAAAATGACTCGGCAGAAGTTATGAAGTCCATCGACCAAGGTGGAGCGCTGAACAATCTGTTAGAAGTTGCCCTTCTAGATATCCTCCCGACTGTGGCTGATTTGGGTATTGCATGTGTTGTTTTCTATTTGAAGTTCAATGTCTACGCGTCCCTTCTGGTGGTTATAGTATCCATTGCTTATGTTGCGGCAGAGGTATTTACCTCTAATTGGAATATGGACGCCAGGCGTGAAGTTACACAGACGCAGAGAAACGAAACTCGTATTATGCATCAGGCCGTTCAAGGCTGGCAAACTGTCACATACTTTAACCAGTTCTCGTATGAGAGATCTCGCTTTGGAGAAGCAGTTGACCTATGCCTAACGGCCAGCGCCCGTTTCGGTCGACGTCGAGCAATTGGGAAGTCACTCCTGGATTTGCTTAAGCCCATTTGCTTCGTTGGTCTCTCCTCACTTATCGTACACGAGATCTCTGTGGGGCGTTCCTCTACGGGAGACTTTGTTTTCTTTATTCAGTATTGGTCTTCGCTCATCTCTCCTTTGGCCTATCTTTCCGCACAATATCGCTGGCTTGTTTCCGATCTAGTTGATGCTGAACGGCTACTCTTCCTATTCCAATCCAAGCCCAGCGTCAACGAGAAGGAGTGGGCTATGCCACTGAAACCTGGCGATGGCCGTGTTTCATTCCACCATGTTGATTTTGCCTATGATTCTCGGTTAAAGACCCTCAAAGACGTGGATATTTCTATCGAACCCGGTACAACGGTTGCACTGGTCGGTATGACTGGTTCAGGAAAGACAACCATCCTTAGACTTCTTCTCCGACTTTACGACGTTACTTCTGGCCAAATCGAGATTGACGGCCAAGATATCCGTGATATAACCCTCAGCTCGCTACGTCAAACTATCGGTGTCGTCCCACAAGATCCTGT